TGGGGGGCGGGGTTCCAGGTGGGCACACCCCCTTGGCCGGGCAGACTTATTGCCCCATGGGCCTGGGGGTGGCAGCTCTCTGCACACGCCTGGTGACGGAGCAGCCACGTGTGTTTCTTAAGCTTAGGGTCAGCCTGAGGAGTTTTTCTCAGGCCTGACAGAAGTCAGTGTGTGAACACATGAGAATGCTGGAAGCTGAAAACCTCCGGCCGCTCTCAGGCCAGACGTGAGGTAGCCCAGCTGCCTGCCACAGGGTGGATGGCCTTACGTGCTTTGAGGACCTGGGGGGACTGTCTCAAGTGACTTTAACCTGGGCCTGGAAACCCCACCGAGCACGTGTTGCTCAGCACGAGGGCCCCTCTCAAGTTCCTGTCACCCCCAGTGTCGTCACCCTTCCTTGTAGCAGCCTCAGACCGCTTTTCTTAGAAAACTGAACGCCCTTTCTACCTGTTCGGCTTGCGTCTCCCAGGCCAGGCTGTGCGGCAGGTGCCAGGCTCCCAGCTGTTCCCCACTGGGCCTTGAGGCCCTCAGGCACATGTAAGGGTTTTCTCTTCTTTCCGGGCTTCCTCTTCTGGGGTGACTACAGGGGCCATGGGTCACGTTCACCAGCCCTTACCCCCTCCTAACTACCCTGGGTGCCCCTTGCCCCTGTGCGCAGTGTCTCCAAGGCCCTTCTAGCCCGATGGAAAGCAGCTGGTTGCCTGTCCTGCCTGGGAACACTCATTTCTTCCTGCCTGTGATGTCAGCCCCCAGCATCAGGATTTTACTGTCTCAGATGACATCTCGGAACGACTCTTGGGCCACTCCAGTGATGGCACATGTGCCTCAGGGCAAGCAGTATCTCCAGATGGACTGAGGTTCCCGAGAGAAAGACACTGCCAGGAGAAGGCCCGAGGCTGTTGCAAGTGCTGAGTGCTCCCAGGGAGGGGAGAGTCAACGCAGTAGTTACCCGGATGAATTCAGCCTATGTGTGCCAGGCACTGGTTTAGGCCCGGAAGGCAGGAGGGGCACTTGACCATGGAGGGGGACATACAGGTTCTGGAGGCTGTGCTGCAGGGTTAAGGATGAGTCAGAGGTACAGGAAAGGGCATTGCCAGCAGAGGCCCATGCCAGGCACTGCGTGGTGGGCGAGGGATGTGGGGCGGTGAACAGGGGTCTGAAGGCCTCAGGGTTTATCCTAGGGACGGGGAACCATTACATGGTTCGGGGCGGGCCCCTGCCCTGAGATAGGTTTTCAGACCAATCACTTTAGTGTCTGTGGAGGACATCGTGGAGCGGGAGGAGGCGGGGTAGAGAGGGACAGAACTCTTCAAAGTCACACCAGCCTTTGCTGGCTCTGACGGTGACATCTTCTCCCTTTGCACCCTCCCTGCAAGAAGCCAGGCCTTTGCTGCAGTGTCATGGTCCTCGGGCCCTGGTGCCCAGGACCTGACTGGCAGCCGTCAGCACTGGCTTCACACATGGGGCTTTGTGTTCCTCGAAAGCCACTTGGAGAGAGACGAGGCTGGCCCCTGCGCAGAGCAGTGCCTCACTCCCCTTTGCCCTTCCAGGTGGAGAAGTCCCTGCAGCGCATTCAGAACGGGCAGCGCAATGCCATGTACACGTCCCAGCAGAGCGTGGAGAACAAAGTGGGTGGCATCCCCGGGTGGCAGGCCCTCCTCACCGCCGTGGGCTTCCGGCTGGACCCCCCGGCCAGCGGCCTGCCAGCAGCCGTCTTCTTCCCAACCTCCGACCCGGGCGACCGGCTCCAGCAGTGCAGCAGCACCATCCAGTCCCTGCTAGGTGAGCCTCAGGCAGAGCCGGGCCCCCGAGGGGCTGGCCGACAGCAGGGACAGAGGGATGGTAGCTGTGGCCCCTGCACTCATGAGGATGCCGATCTCATAGCTGGAATGAGTTTCCTGAGAAATGGCAGTCCCAGCCGCAGCCTCTCCTGGTTTGGAGGAAATGGGTGCTCTTGCCCTAACCTTTCCATCTGTGATGGCAAGGCGTCCTCTACCCGGGAGAGCGCCGCCCTGGCTCTGCCGCTTCCTGCTGTGACAGGCGGCAACGGGAGGGAGGCCAACAGCAGCTGCTCTTACCATTTCATTGGCAGCTTCGGCTCAGACAGAGCCATGCGGCCAACCCCAGGGTGAAGTGGGGTACAGGTGCCCAGGGCTGCCCTTTGGGTTTCACTCAGAGGCATGATGCTGTCTGAGTGACTGAGACGGGGTCCTGGGCATGTGACCGTGCACCTGGAGACAACAGCTGAGTCAGGTCTGGCCCCTGCCCTGCCTCCACCTGTCTTTCTGAGACCGTTCCCTCCTTTTCTAAGTCGGACCGGGACGCACACCTCTGGCTGTCCTGAGCTTCTGAAATGCCACCAGTGCTGAGCGTTTTGGACTCTTTCCCCTGGGGAGACAGCAGGACTGTGGGTGCACAAGCCCCTCTGGCTAACAGCCATCTCTTTCTTCCCGGTTCAGGTCTGCCCAACCCTGCCCTTCAAGCCCTCTGCAAGCTCATCACCGCCTCGGAGACGGGCGAGCAGCTCATCAGCCGGGTGAGTTGAGCCAGGACGGCTGAGCCCAGGTCTCAGGGCTCTGCCAATTTGGAAAGAAAGTGATCTGGCCCTAGGAACGTGCAAGTAATGCAGCCTCATGGCTTTTTTCAGCCTTTGTGATTAGAAGGAAAAGGCAAAAGCTGGGTGTTAGAGAACAGCCCTCCCCAGCACGTGCTAGACATGAGGGGCGCTGAGTCCCAAGAGCTTTAGGGCCTTCAGGGGACGTTTGCGGGGCCCCTCCCACCTGTAGTCTTAAGGCATTTCCTGAACTCTTGCTTCAGTGGCCTCCTGTACCTCGTCATCCCCACCCACCAGTTTTTCCTGCTGATTGACAAGTGTTACAGCCACCTTCCCTAAGCCAGGAGTAGGGCTACAGGTGTTCCAATACTTTTTCTCAGGTCAAAATATGAACCCCACCACCTGAAACAAAACAGCCGCTGAGGTACAGCAGTGAACACAAACAGCTCTATGTCAGGATGCCGCTTGGTAGGATTTTAAAAATGCTGTAAGAAAATGTAGATCTCACTGAGGTGTTTGGAGGATTCCAAATCTCAGCACCATGTAGGCGCCTCCCGCCTGGTCCCAGAGCTCCTGTCTCCCTGCCGGCCAGTGAGGCCCTGGAGCAAGCCCCGGGGACAGCCACGTGTGGGAAGTGGGGGCAACCCCTGAAGAGCACAGCACTTTTCTCTGGTCATCTTGGAGTGTACTAATTTCAAAAAAATAATACACATTATTATATATTTGTCAGCAGATATCATTTTAAGCAGAAATATTTCTATATGGAACTCAAGCTCCTCCATCTAGGATTCACCTCTGAAAATCTGAATGGTGCCTGGAGCCGCCATGTCCCCGGGGTTGGTTGCAGCCCGGATTTGGAGCATAGCTCAGCCTGGACCCTTCGTTGAGTTCCTACTCATTTTATAATAAGGGTGTCACATCTGCTTTTGAATGGAGTGGGGTGGCACTTCTGGAACGTTGCATATTAAAACACCCTGAATTCAGAGAACTAGAAGGCTGTGCTCTCCAAAAAGAGAAAGCTAGAATTACATTTGCTAGGCAAGACCGAGAACCCACAAAGCCAGTTGCTTAATTTCTTGCTTTTGGTGGCAGCTCAGGGACTTGCTATCCTCTGGCCTGGGCTGCCTCCCGTGGCTGGTGGCTGGTGGCTGGTGGGCGTTTGCTGAGTTGCTCTCGAACCATGGACCTTGGTTTACAGAGTGGCCTGTGCATGCCCACGGTGCCCCTGCCCCACCTGAGTCTGGCCTGCCCTGCTCTGCTCCTGGTGAAGAAGGGCAGGGCCTGGCGGACCCTGACCCTGACCCTAAGCCCCTTGACCCCGAGCACGTGTGGCTGTTCATTTTCCTGCGCGTCCCTGCTGACTCTCGCTCCTCTCCCCCTCCCAGTCAGAGCCGCGGGCCTGGTGTGGCGCTTCCTAAAGCAGTGATCAGCTCGTGTTGCATAACAACCTGTGCTTGAGTCTAAACTCTCTTCTTTCTCTCTCTTTCTCTCTCTTTTCCTTATAATCTGCTGGCCGAAGGCTGTTAAAAATATGGTTGGAATGGTGAGTACTACCTTAAGTAGCAACTGTCGTCAGGTGAGCCCCTCAACCCACCCACCCCAAGCTCCCCTCGGCACTCAGCTCGGTGCGCATGTGCTGTGGTGTCTCGGAGCCGCACGCACACGCCAACACACGCTCCGGCTGGGTGACCGGTGCCACTGGCTCCGGCAGCCTGCCCCCTCCTCTGCTCTGGCTCCCCTTTTCCTGCTCCACCCTTCTTGTGTTCTCGATTTGACCTTTTAAGTTCCAGCAGAACAGCAGGGGCAGAAGCGACACTGTGAGCCCACAAGGCCCCTGGGTAGTGTTCACAGACTCAGGAAATCTCAAACACCACAGGCACTTGAGCGGGTTCTTCCAGTGCTGAGGCTCTAGGATGTAACCTTGGATTCCTCGTCACCCTGTACCGCGAGGTCATAATGATGATTTTAATTAAATAGAGGGAGACGACCAGGTCCATAACCCACCCCTCATCTAGTCCCCGAGCCCTCTCCTGTGCGCAGTAGCCCCGCAGCGAGTGTGTGCGAGGAGGTCTCGGAGCAGAAACCCTGCCTGTGGGCTGGCCCGCAACCTTGAGCTTCCCACAGAGAGGACACTAGGCGAGGACATCAGCAAAGAGAATGTCAGATGTTCCACATGCAAGGTCATCAGTGAGGACAGTGACAGGTGACCCAAGAAAAGCTTGGGGACAAATCCTAGGCGGGCCGGAGGGAAAGGAAGCCGGAAGGAGTGAGGGCTCACGCTGTCCCCCTTCTCAGCTCCACCAGGTCCTGGTCCAGCTGCAGGCCTGCGAGAAGGAGCAGGACTTCGCATCGGCGCCCATCCAGGTCTCCATCAGCGTCCAGCTGTGGCGGCTCCCGGGCTGTCATGAATTCCTGGCAGCTCTAGGTAGGACAGAGCATTCTTGACTTAATTGGTTTATTTAGTTCCATTTTTAAAAAATCTATTTTTCTCCTACTTTCTGTTGGGTAAAGTTGGTAGACTCTTCGGGGTTTTTGGGTTTTCTTAGATGTTTTATTACTCGACAGTGAAAGATTCTGGTGTGTTAATACAATTCCCAAATGGCCCCCGGGCTGTGTCCCATTGCCCCTCCGTTACTGTTTCATCTCTCTCATCTGTAGTCATCTTACTATGAAACTGATAGATTCCAGTATTGGTGGGAGTCAGCCTATGATTAAAAGCTAAAGAACATAGTCATAAAATAATGGTTTCAATGTTCTCTTTCACTGGCTGCTGGAAACTGGCAGAAAAAAAATACAATTGAAACCACCTTTGATTTGACTGTGGGGACCTAGAACTGCATATATCAGAGTCTGTGTCCAATTCGGGACTCTTTTCCTTTTTCAACACTTACACAGCGAAGCAGCTCTTGAAGTAACTGCTATTAACACTTAGAACAGGTGCATCTGTTGGTAAACCACAGGAGACTGTAAGCTGCTCTTCTGCTCCACGTAAGAGCCTGTGTGCCATGCACACGTAGCTCTTTTTCAGACACCTGTTATGTGCCAGGCAGTGTCCTAGGCACTGGAGACGCAGCAGTGAGCAAAACACAAGAAGCCCTGTCCCCTTAGGGTTTGTTCTCGTGGGGAAGGCAAACAGACAGCGAATACCTAACCTAAGGGACGCACCTCAGAGGTGAGGGTGCGCTGTGGCAGAAAAGGCATCAGGGTCCTAGTGACAGGCTGGCTGGAGGGGTGAGGGGCAGGCCCAGAGAGCCTGCGGGTGTTTGCAGGTGAAAGAGCCAGGCAGAAAGAGGCCAAGTTTGAGGTCGACAAGGTGGCACAGGGGATGGTGGGTCACCAGGCCAGGGGATGGCCTTTGGTTTTTAACCTGAGGGAGCAGGGAGTCTGGGGGGTGCCACAGCCTGAATTCACTATTATGAGGACCAGCTCTCAGACATGGCAGGGCAGCAAGTCCTTAAAAAGAGGATTTTTATTTTTGTAAGGCCCGGATATTCAGTATTGGGCCATCTTTTCTAACCCACTTTGCAGATGACCTTTCCCAGCTCACCTCATCTTAGGGCTGGCTCCATTTTAAAGGTAAAAAGGGAAACCCACAACACCCCCACACATACACACAGGGGCCCCAAGTCCCGTGATTGGACACTTTGCTGTCCTTTATGTTTCGTATTATTTGCTTGTTTCCCATGGACTTTAATACAGCCTTGGTGTAAACATAGTAAATTTTTATCTAAATAAATGTAGTCAGGAGCAAATGGAGAAAGAGTGAGAAGGGCCAGGTCCACACCTGGGACGGATGTCTGCTCACTTCTGTCACAGGTTGTAAGGCTGGGCTTGGGACAGTGACACAGGGCACAGGTGAGGTAAGAAGATGAAGCCAAGACCTTCCTTCATAAAGGAAAAGCTCGTCCTCACGCAGGGCCTAAGCTTCCCGTGGGCGTGGGCGTGGGCGTGGGCGTGAGTGTGGGTGTGAGTATGGGCGTGGGCGTGGGCGTGGGTGTGGGCGTGGGCGTGAGTGTGAGTGTGAGTGTGACGGAGCTAGCCCTCCATCACATGAACTAGACGTTTTTGATGCCCCTGGATCTCCGGTGCTGGGATTGTGGATGATTTTCATTGCTGTTCCTCTACTTCTCTGTACTTTCCAAATCTCACTGATACTCAAGGGGTGAGTCGGTGTGCACACACTTGTAACCTCAAGTGGCTCCCTCACTCTGAGGGCTCCAAGGCTCAGAGAGATGTCCTCCACGTTAATCATGCGCCATCACAACCCATCACAGGGCGGTGGGTATTCACAGGACTCAGTTTGCTTGGAGCAACCAATTCAAATCATTTTGGTAAAACTAGAGGTTTCTAACTAAAATATTACATTTATATGATTAATTTGTTTTTAATGCCGAGTTCTCTGAGACCTTCCTGCTGCTTCCAGGGACTGTTTATTTTTGAGTTCAGAGAGGAAAATGTCCCATAGCAACCAGAATGCCGAGTGGCTCCTTGAGTGAACCCAATTCCCTAAGGAATGACAGTGTCACACCAATGTCCGAATCCTCGAGTGGGAATAAAAATACAGAGACGGATCTCTCCCTCGGTAAATATGCTCAGGCATGAAACGCACAGCATGCTGAGCTCGGCGGCACCGTGAAGCACGGTCCCTGTCACCGGAACGTTGTGAGATCACAGGGCCGGTGCCCCTGGGCCTTCGGCACCAAGCGGTTGCCCCGTCTCCACGGAGACAGTGACCCGCAGAGGTGGCTGAGGGAACAGTCTCAGGGCTGAGAGCTCTACGGCCTCCAAATTCTTGCTTGGCGGTGCCTTTCTGTGGACACAGCGTCTGTTTGGCTGCTTCCTCCTGAGTTCTTCCGCGGGAAGCAGTACTGGGTGCCTCTGCAATGTCTCTACTTAATAAGTCCAAGTGTGGTGGCAACAGCCCGCCAGCCAGCCTCCTGCTCAGGAGGCTCCCGCCCGTGCTGTGCCTGCTCCAGGTCTCAGGAGAACCGTCGGCTCGGTGAGCAGCCCCCTGGGCTCTGGCAGAGGGAGCCCCTGCGAGGCGGTTCAGCCACGGTGGCCGATGCTGCCCGTCGCAGAGCTCACAGCGCTCCGCGCAGGCCCTGAGCATGTACGGAAACACTGCCCTCGCCCTTGAGAAGCTTCCGCCGTCCCGTGCGTCGGTTTTAAATACGGGACTCAATGCCAAAGGGGTGGCCAGTTTTCGTCCTGGGCCATCTCCTTAATGGACTGTTCTGCAAAAGAATGGAGAAGAAAAATATTAACACGCCTTACTAATGCCTAACTTCAGCTCCCGAGAATGTAGTTCTGGGCAGGAAAGCAGCCGGTGCTCTATGAAGGGACAGGGGAGCCGGGCCGTGAGGTTCTGCACGCAGCAAATGGGGAGCCCCATGACCGGGTGTTACGGGTGAGGGAGCCCCACTTGCTGAGGGACCTGCGGGGTTCCCATATGGCACTGTACCAGGAGCCCCGCGGCTCTCATCGTTTCAGGATGTAGAATCATCCCTAGGGATGCAGATGTTTATATATTTTGTTCCTCTAGGTTTTGATCTTTGTGAAGTTGGTCAGGAAGAAGTAATCCTGAAAACCGGGAAACAAGCCAATCGAAGAACTATGCACTTTGCGCTCCAGTCCCTGCTCGCCCTTTTCGGTACGTGCTCCTCCCGGCACCGCTCTCCCTGCGCCCCCTGGGGGCAGACGCCAGCACAAACATTGTGGGAAGAAAAGTGGAGAAACATTTTTTGTGTATGTGTTAGGGACTGTTCAAGAGCAGCAGACAAAACTGCCCGTTCTCATGGAAGTTACAATTAAAATACACGAAGTGCATAGACGAGGCGCTGCCAAGTGCTATTAAGAAAACAGGCAGGGCCAGGGACCAGAAAGTGGGAGGGTGGGCGCGAAGCAGACGCAACCAGAGAGGAGCCCAGATCATGGACTGGGAGGTTTTCAGGCCCCGGGGGCACACCTGCCTGCCTGACCTTCTCAAAGGGCCTGGCAGGCTGCAGCATGAAGACTAAACGCTGGCTCGGACGGCAGCCATGGTTGGAAGGCAGAACAACAGGATCTGATGAAGAATGTATGTCAGACAGAAGGAGAGGGCTAAGGGGATACTTGGACCCTACCAGAGAGAGGCTGCCTTTTGCTGAGACCTTGAAAGTGGCAGGAGGACCTTGGACACGTTCAGTTTTGAAGTATCCATTAGACACCTACATAGGCAGCTGCTTCTATGAGTCTGGAGTTCAGGGAGAGGCCGCTGTGGAGATATAACTGTGCATACAGGTCCGAGGGGAAGAGGACTGTGTGCTGTGGGCACCCGGGATTCACAGGTCACACAGATGACGAGGGGCCTGGGAAGGAGTAGTCGGTGAGGGCAGAACTGAGCAGTGAACACCGAGGTGGCAGCATGGGCATCACTGGGAGTGTAGGCATTCCTTACAAGAACTGGGGGCGCCAAGAGCCTGAGTGGAGTGGGCTAAGAGAGGAGTGCACAGACTGAGTGTCAATGACCCTGAGGAGGCTGCTGGGATGTAGAGTAATGGGGCTGGAGCTGGTGGGACGGTGTGTGGGTCTAGGACAGGGGACATCACAGACTTCCCACTGACCCCGGTCAGAGCAGGAGGCAGATGGGGGTCCCATGAGATAGGGAGCAGAGTCGAGATGGGCGCGGTGGTGGGGGTCTGCAGCGTGCAGGGCTGTGAGGTCTCCTGGGGTGTTTCAGGTTCTAAGATGAATTCAAGTTGTTTAGGAGTTGCACTTGTATAATTCTTTGCTAGCTTCTATGCATATAAATATGCTTAGTGATTTTGAAAGAAATTTCAAAACTGTATAGAATTCTAACTGCCTTCTGGGCACATACATTTTGTCCTAGATTCTACTGAGCTGCCCAAACGCCTCAGCCTGGACAGCTCGTCCTCCCTGGAGTCCCTGGCCTCGGCCCAGTCTGTCTCCAACGCCCTGCCCTTGGGCTACCAGCACCCTCCCTTCTCTCCCACCGGTGCAGACAGCATCGCCTCGGACGCCATCTCCGTGTACAGTCTCAGCTCCATCGCCTCCTCTATGAGCTTTGTCTCCAAGCCCGAGGGGGGGTCTGAAGGTGGGGGGGCCCGAGGACGGCAGGACTACGACCGGTCCAAGAATGCTTACCCACAGCGATCCACCCTGCCTCGGAGCCAGCTGTCCCCCCAGACCCGCCCTGCAGGCAGCAAAGATGAAGAAGAGTATGAAGGGTTTTCCATCATCAGCACTGAGCCTTTGTCGGCCTACCAAGAAAACAGAAAGGCATGCTTCTCACCGGATCACAAGCAGTCTCGAGGAGGGACAGCTGGAGGTGTGAAAGTTTCCGTAAGCTCCAAGGGGAGCGTAAGCACTCCAAATTCTCCGGTTAAAATGACTCTGATTCCCAGCCCAAACTCACCCTTCCAAAAAGTTGGAAAACTAGCAAGTTCAGATACGGGAGAATCAGACCAGTCTAGCACAGAAACAGATAGTACCGTGAAATCCCAAGAAGAAAGCAACCCAAAGCTTGATCCACAAGAGTTGGCCCAGAAGATTCTAGAGGAGACACAAAGTCATCTCATCGCGGTAGAGCGTCTTCAGAGGGGCGGCGGCCAGACTGGCAAGAGTGGTAACCCCGAGGACGGCATTTCCGTGCCAAACAGTGCCACGGTCTTCAGAGCGTCAGAAACGAGCGCATTCAGCCGACCTGCCCTCTCCCATCAGAAGAGTCAGTCATCACCAGTCACTGTGAAACCAAAGCCCCCAGCCAGAAGCTCATCCCTGCCCAAGGTGAGCTCAGGATACAGCAGCCCCACCACCTCGGAGGCGTCCATCAAAGACAGCCCGAGCCAGCACAGCGGCCGGCCGTCCCCTGGCTCCGACTCCCAGACTTCCCTGACTGACCAGCCTCTCTTTAAACTCAAGTATCCCAGCTCCCCTTACAGCGCCCACATCTCCAAGTCGCCAAGGAACATGTCCCCCAGCTCAGGCCACCAATCTCCTGCTGGTAGCGCACCGTCCCCGGCTCTGTCCTATTCCTCGGCCGGCTCCGCCCGCTCTAGTCCAGCTGATGCCCCCGACATAGACAAGCTGAAAATGGCAGCCATTGACGAGAAGGTGCAGGCTGTCCACAACCTGAAGATGTTCTGGCAGAGTACCCCCCAGCATCCCACAGGACCAATGAAAATATTCCGGGGGACTCCTGGAACGATGACTTCCAAAAGAGATGTCCTCAGCCTATTAAATCTGTCACCTCGGCACAATAAAAAGGAGGAAGGCACAGACAAGCTTGAACTTAAGGAGCTGTCTTTGCAACACCGTGGAGAAGCGCCGCCAAAGGCCCCTCCCAACGGTCACTGGCGCAGCGAGACCACCCCCGTGAGCACCCTGCCGCTGCCCGCCAGTCCCCCGGCTGCCGCTCCCACTCGCCCTTTGAGACTTCCTTCCGGAAACGGCTACAAGTTTCTGTCCCCGGGAAGATTTTTTCCGTCCTCGAAATGCTAAAGCATCGTTCATCCCAACTGACTCAGCGCAGCAGCCCGCAGGGAGGGTGTGGGCATTCACGCGGCCCCTCCCTGTCTGAGTGCAGTCACCCACGACGCCACCGGCCACCTCACCATGGGCGCGCTCTCCGGGCAAGGGGCAGCCACGCCCAGGGGCCACCACACACACGGATGGTGGCTTCTCTGGGACTCCGGGACAGATTCACCAGAAGCCAGGACTTCTGTGGGGCTGGTACACGAGGCTCATGGAATTTTCTACACACTTCACCAAATGTTTACCTTTGAACTTCCTGCTTCTCATCTTGATGTGATTCTTCAACAGGATTTTTGTACAAAAATGGTCATGGTTCTGGGGTGGGGAGAGGAGAGGGAACACATATTTTGCTAAGAGGTATATATGCAGTACCTTTTATACACAAAAATACAAATAGAGCTTTTATAAGGCTTTCAGGTGCTGGTTGGGGGTGGGATATGTAAAATCTCTCTAACTTGAATTCTTCATGGAAGTGTTATATTAGCCAAAAACAGAATTATGGTTTTAAAAATGCCAATGATTTGTATTAAATTGTAGCAATTTTGGTCTCATGATATTGTAACGACGCAATAATTCACATGGAAACAGTGCTTCCATCCTGAACTCGGCTTCATCGAGCTATACACATGTCCTTGGGGCCCCACTGTCAACCAAACTTGAATTTTCTTAAAAATTTTATGTAACTCTTATCCAGGCATTTTAGAACTATGCAATTGTGATTTAAAATGCAACTTTGTGCTTTTAAAACATTACTGACCTTTTTTGTACGTGGATAAACAACTTGGTTTTATTATCAATAGTACTTTGCATTTATAGGTATTATTTTTAAAAGCTCAAAACGTTTTTTAAAATGTCAAATTTTGAATAGTCATCAATAAGTAATTATCAAGTTTTGGGAGGAAAGATTGAAATTAGTCCTTATATGCAAAAAAAAAAAAAACCACAAAAAACAACCAAAAAAAAATCCCCTGGCTAACTAGATTTAACCAGAATCTAGCCTTCCAGCTCCTATTCCCTGTACCAGCTGCTTAGTTTTATTCTCCGTTCTAGGCCTTCAAAACCACTTCTATCTAACTCTGCTGCCAGGTTCCCACAACTCCAGCCCCCCCATGTCTGTGAGATGACCCCGCATCTTAATCGTGACCAGCACCCCTTGCTCTGCGTCTGAAGGACAAGCCTCCCCGAAGGCTTTAATGTCCACAGCCTGGGAAGTGGGGGCTTTTGCTGGATTGACATCCAGATGACTGCCGAAACGCGGAGACACATCCCTGAAAGTGCTGTCACAGAAAGCAAAGGTGGACTTGCCCTAGGCGGTGGCAGTACACTGAAATCGCTGCCAGCCAGGAGACAAAAGAGTAGTCTGTGTAGGGGTGACCATTAACTTATTTGAATAAAGAAATGAAATGCTGAAAATCATATTAGTACTAAGTTTAGTTGGAGAATTTAAATAAGCCTCTTTTAGGTAATTCTAAAATTCCAATCCTACCATCCTTACTGTGAGGGTGAATGTGTGTCACACGAAGGTGGGCTGCCACCCGGCCAGGACACCAGCGCCATGTGGGCGTGGACGTGAGGGGCCCAGCAGGACCGACACCATCAGACCCCAGGTAGAGCTTTAACCCTGGGTAGGGGCTCTCCTTATAAACATACACGGACTGCTTGCCCCGTTCCTCGCTGCACCCTGAAAAGAGGATACTATTTATTCAATTTGTTATTTTTCTGAGCTATGTCAGAGGTTTCTGCATTTAGCAACAGCCAAGTTGATGAAAGCAAACAAGAAGGTGGTCCCATTCTAACCCTGATTCCAACACTGGAAGAAAAATACTTTATAAAGAAGTAAGCAAATATGAGGTTGTCTTTATGTCAGTAGGGGAAAAAATAAATGGTTATAAAAGTACTAGCATAGCAAATGAAAGCCAAGTTTATAACACTGTGCATTAGATAGAAAAATCAGGTCCTCAACCATGAAAACTAAACCTCAAAGGAAATTTCTGCATCCACCTGTAGATAGTTGGGCTGCTCCTTTCTCAGCAAATCTCAGCCTCTTTCCCAAGTGCCAACGAGCCCTGGAGGAAAGGCCCGGAGTCTGCTCCGTCCATGGAGACGAGGGGCTGCCCCGTGCCCCCTCCAGGGCACACCCTCTACCACCCAGACCGCTTCCCGGGGTTACCAAGCCAGCCAGGAGGACTCATGGGTCCTAACCTGGTTTCAGTCCTACGTAAATTGTTGTTTTAGGTTTCATTTTGAAAAAGCCAAATGGTATATATGATTTTTAAATTTTGTCCTAGATACAAGGTTCAATGAAGGAATGCAAAGATGATGAAATAATAGGACCAAACTAAAAATCATTGTAGAGTCACCACTTCTTTATGTTCACTGTCAGTCTTGGTGTTTTTCTGTGAGTGAAATGGATGTAAAATCAAGGTGAATTTTTCAGGCTACACTGATAAAAGGATGCACTTAAAAATTATGTATAATTCACAGGCTTCTTTGTACAGATTGGGATTGGCAAACTACAGCCCACAGGCTAACTGGTCAGAGGCCTGGTTTTTTAAAAATTTTACATTTTTAAATAGTTATATAAGTACCTACATAATAGTCTTGATTTTGCCTCTTTGCCCACTAAGCCTAAAATATCGAATACCCGGCCGATGAAGAAAGTTTGCTGACTCCTGGTATAGATACCAGAAAACAATTAGAATAATGTGTTGTTTCTGCAATCTAGGAAAAGTGTCAGGTTGTGGACAAAATTGATGGGCGTGCACGGGGACCCTGAGCCATGTGGACAGAAGCGAATGACTCCTCCGCAGGATGTGGGTCTTTGCTCACTTTGGAAGGAGTCAATGGATGTGGGTAAAATTTACAAAAAAAATTTTTTTCTCTATGTGCAGATATCATTGGATATCATTCTTTTCAGCTCAGGGAACTGGAATGCCCTGGCCATACTGTCCTCCGTCAGATGCAAGTACACGGAACACAAGCAATAAAGTCTCCCTCTCTTGGCAACCTTGGTATGACCACAAAGCAAGGTAGTAGTGGGCTCCACCTTAATTCTCACTAGCGGACTTAACTGCTTTGCTGATTTAAACGAAGTCAAAATACCAAGTCAAAATTAGTTACAAAAATTTACATTTTGATCCACATTTGTGTGTAGTAAAATGAAAAAATTCTCACCTCCATCCCATTTGAAAAAATGCATGGTCCATACTGATACGTGCTGGGTCTCAGCAGGAGACCAGGTGCTGCACACGCTGTCCTTACCCCTGACCTTGTCTGTCCGGTGACTCACAGCAGGTGATCATTGTAGCAAGACTTCAGTCCGCTGCCTACCTGTCCCGCCGCCTCCCACAAGAACTGTCACGTTGTTAGTTTCGGTTCAGGTTGGAAAAAAATGCCACGCAATAATCTGGTTTGCTTTTAGTAAGTAGGCAGAAAGTGAAAACTGTATAATTTTCATCACATATTTTGTTGTTTTATCTAAATTGATTGTACATGTGGTTTGTGAACTAGGCCCTTGTTTGTGCCAGATCTGTCCAAGATGTTCCATGCGAGGACACGTGCGGTCACGTCGCCCTTCCTCGGACCCCTTCCCCACTTGGCACTCACGCCCCTCGTATGCAGTGTTAGCCATCTTTGGCCTATGTGGACTTTTTTTTGTAAATGACACAGTTTCCAGATGGCATTAAACTTTTTATATTATGAAATTTATCATGTAAAAAGAACTTCATATTTTTATTGAGACTGCTAAGGCACTTGGCCTTCCTTTGTGATTTCAGTGTCTATTAAAGCATGAGTTCCCTCGGTTTTCAGTGCTGTATCTGCATCTCTTTCTTGCACAGGCCATCCGTCCTAGCTTTCTTGGCACTACCGAGTGGCCATGTGTCATTAACGAGCACGTATCTCTGGAGTTTTATTCTTATAAATACACTGTAACCTCATATTCGCCAGGAGGAGATCCCGAGGCAGCACACCGCAGCGCTGATCTGTAACGCAGGTCTCCAGCCAAGGCGCCAGGACCTGTTAGTGGGTGGCTGTTTAGACGACTAAACGCTTCTGATCTTCTGTGACCAGTGTTGGAGAGCCAGAAAATTCTACAGTTGTATAAATGTTTAGACCAAAACGAACAAACACAAAACCCGTTCATTACCAGATTCCTGTATCTAAAGAAACTTCCAAGGAAAGTATTTCAAAAAGAAGGAAAGCAATCCTACATGTAACAGTCTGAGAGGCATGAAGGAAGAGTGGGCAAAGAAGTAGGTAAATGGGAATAAACGGAAACAAATACTGATTGTATCAAAAGAGTAATGTCTCCCTTGGGGAGTAATGACGAATGAAAACACTAAACAGGAATATGTAAAACAAGGAAGTTAAAGTGTTGTAAGTTGTTTGGGAAGAGATGAAAGAGTAGATTACTTTTAGAGTAAAATATATATGCATAATCACACACAAAAATAGAAATAGGATTATACTTCGCAACTAGTTAGCGGACAAGAAATAAGTAAAATGTTAAAAACTTAATTGATCTAAAAGAACAGAAAAAGGAGGGAACAACAAAAGTCATTTTAAAAGTAGGACAAATACAAGCTGAAAGAAAGAAAAATTACCAGTAATCATATATGTAAGTGAACCAAACTTAATTAAAAAGGAGATCAACAGACGATGGCAATATGCCACATGCTCTTTAAGAAACTATATGTTGTTTGGAAAAAAAAATACTAAAGCATAAGGCCCCAAATGGTTGATAATAAATAGATATTAAAGTAAAAAGGCACTCATAAAAACAAAGACTCATAGTCTAATGTTTAAAAAAATAGTTAGCAGCGGGCCGGCCGAGTGGCACGATGGTTAAGAGCTGGCTTGGGATGCCAGAGGGCCCTGCTTCGGATCCCACATGTGAGGGCCAGTGACACTGCCCTCCACAGCTAGGATGCTGAACAACAGCTCAACCTGGAGCTGGGCTGCCGTGAGTCGCTGGCGACGGCGTAGGCTGCAGTCCCTGTGGCAGTGGGTTGCCATGGGCTACCGTATGTAGCCAGCAGCCAGCAGCCAGCGTGAGCGGCCAGCAGCCGCAGTGAGCGGCCGTCCAGAAGCCGGCGACTGATCTGCCTCGCCCGGGAAGAGCGCAATGATGGTGCCAACTTGGGCCAGTGAAGCAGCGTCCTCCACAACTAGATTGAAGAACAAAACGACAGCAACTTGTCTGTTCCCCTTCCCCCAATTCCCCATCACTGTTCCCATCCCCCCAATTACCCAATAAAAATCTTAAAAAAAAAATAGCAGAAAGGCAAAATTCTAAATGTGTATGCAACTAACCATATAGCTTCAAAATTCATAAAGTAAAAATCAGAACTATAAGTTCGGAAAACTACACTATCATACTGAGAGATTCTACCCTCTACTCTTAATAACTGATAGATGAAGCAGACAAGACTTTAGAAGGCATATGGTGGGTTTAAACAAATTCAGCTTACGAAGTGGAGTTGGTGAAAACTGGGCCTCCAACAGTGAGTCTACATTCTTCACAAGCACACATGGACTATTTTATTAATACGAAAACAGACCATGTACGGGCCACATAGCAAGTGTCAGCAGATACTGAGGATCAGTATCATTGCTACCATTTCTGCTTACACGCTATTTTCAGGATATATATATATTTATAGTACATAATAGCTTAATAAAATTAATTTTAAATTTCATCAAAATTACTGGGAAGTAGTTAAAGTGATTTTAAAAGAAAAATGTATAGCCTTAAATGTTTATATTCAAGGGTAGTGTTCAAAAGATGTAACTGCACAAGCCCCGACCCAGGGCTGCCTGTCCTAAGCACCGAGTACGATGGTACTAGTGTGGACGCTGGGAAAGAAAGAATAACCACTGCGCTAGGCGACCAATCCAAGAAGTCAGCAAAATAGCAAACGCAGAGAGAAACGAAGAAAGGGACTAAGAATAGTCAGAAATTCACAAAAGAAGACAGGACAGAAGATGAAGAAGGGCAAAGTTTGCCAAAAGGACAAAATACAGTAACTTCTGGGAAACTTGATCATTCATGTGGGGGAGGAGGGAAAGGAAAAGAAAAGTGCGTATAGCTAAAGATGCAGCAGAAATTTAAAATTAAGAAAATATTGGGTCATCAGGAAAGTCATGATGTATTTTTCTATGTTTTTCAATGCAAAAATGCATCATGACTTGCTTAACAACCCAATATATGAACAACTTTATGCTCATGTATGTGAACATGAAAACTAATGCCCAACATGGTTTAGGCAGACAGACATAGTTGAGGCATCTAGAAATGTGAGGAATGATGGACCGCAAATGCAGGAAATGTCACTGTCAGGGAGAGAAGCGGTGGAATTAGGATCAGAAACAATTTATGAGCGACTTCAACTATATACAACTCTACTCAGTCACGTATGTAAACTATTTGATAATGAACTGAAGAATGAATGGCCTGGAGAGAAGGCTGCTCCCAGCCCTGATCCCCGTCCCCTCTCCCTCCACAGGCAGCCCTCCCTGCCCTGCGTGTTGCTGAGGGGCACCCCGGGCTCCCCAGCACACGGATAGGCTTCAGGCTGGACCCCACACTCCCAGGGCGTATCGCTGCCCGTCTCACCGTGCACAGCACAGAGCTGGACCCTGGGTGCCCTGGGCTTTCCTGAGTCACGGACCTGCAGCTAAGTGTCGGATTGGGACTCAGAAATTATATTTCGCTTGTAGTGTGTGTGGTCAAGTTGTTGGGGTAGGGGGATGTTGGTGGCAGGGAGACAGGACACGTGTGTCCTCACGTGGTCCCAGCCACCCAGTGTATCCAGTCACTGTGATGGGGGCTCATTGGTGACTGTAGCCCAGCCAGGCAGGTGCGGGGTGGTGAACGGTGGGGGGTCTGAGACAGAGGCCGAGCCGGTGTGGGGGTTACAAAAAGAAAGAATGGATGAAGAGTATCATTGGAAACTATACAGTAATAAATTCAATGAACTTCTAGGAAAAATTATTAAAAGTTCTGGTTCAAGAAAGAAAACTTAGAGAAACCAAAGTCAAAAAAACAAACCAAACAAACAAACAAAAAACCAAATCCCAAAAAAACTAAAAGGATAACCACAACTCCTCACCCTTTATCCAACTCTGAAAAATCACAGGCCCAGGTAGCTTTAAAGGTGTTTCATCAAACTTACAGGCCCAGCTCATCTCTAGCTTCTCCAGTTGTTTAAGAAAATAAGAAGAGAAGATATTCAAATAATTCCATGATGCTTTTCTTGATTCTAAAGTCAACAGATAGTATAAGAAAACAAAACAATAGGCTCACTTCATTTATGAACCTAGACATAAAAATCCTAAACAAAATATTGTGCATAAAATCCCTGTATTTTTAAAACTAGGAAAATACAGATTGACAGTTAACCTACATGTTAGTTATTGGAGCTGATGAACGCAATGGTGTTCTGAGGAGCATCTATAAACACTCATGTATGGAAAACCAATAAGCATTAAGCAATGGAACTTTACTACCTCGAGAACCAGAGTGGCTGAATTCTATGGTTTACACCATAACTAGACAACAGTGAAATGTGTAAATCAATGTAAAGGAAATTCCGAGCAGTTCCACCATTTCTTAAGAAGCAACGTAAGAACCCTGCTATTATTGTTTAAGTAGAAATTGTCTTTAGTTCGATAATCTATAGAGCAAATCGAAGGACGCAAGGTTAACACAGAGCTATGCAAGGATTTATGAGCACACTACTGTAGTCTCTATTACCTTAGGAAATACAATTTGTGTTCTCTGTTACTGCTCAAGGATTTGCATATCCAATAGTGGGATGCATATTTGGTTAGATGCTTCCCTGGGAGGAGAATGGCCCTTTAATGACGATTCGGCTGCGTGCTTGAGGGCCTCGATGGATAGCTGATACAAAAGACGAGTACAAGCAGGACTGCTCTTAGCGACTGCAGCTGCTTTTTAATATTAATAGTCTGATGCTTTATTATAGGCCCTTTGTTGTGTTGTTTTTAACCTCAGAATCTCTGGACAGGGACTGCAGCTTGGTACATTTCTCAGTGGAAGGCTTTCTTCAACTTTCCCAATAAGCATGAGAGCCTACAGCTCCTAATAATACTAAATAATGGCAAACAGCAGGGGACTGACAGGCTGAGGCTGCACCCACTCCAGCAAATGAGGCCAAAACATCTGGCTCCAAATACATTAAAGGACACGCTGGCATTAAGAAGCATTTTGCCTCGCAAATGAATTTCCACCTAATCTCCGAAAGATATTTATTAAATTTGTAGCAATTGTGCATTTGGGCTTCAGGGGACAATAATATACTTAAAGATATAAATATGCTCAATATATTTATATTAAATAAAAAGTTTTGCAATTCTAAGATAACTTTAAATCCTAGCAGCAGAACTCAGAGTGAAACTTCTTAGTTCATTGGGGCAGGTAAATGAATGTGAATTCTAATCTGCCTGGCAGCATTTTGCCAAAAGTCTGATTTTTTTTTCTATATACAGAGCTTTCTGAAGTATAGCCATTTTCTTTTTGAACCAAAAAAATGCAAAAAGAAGCAGTTCTTCTTTATTTCAAGAGTCATTCACTCCACAAATACTTGCTGAAGGTGCGTTGTGATAAGTAGAATGTAGCCAATAAAAATAAACAAGCAGAAAGTTAAAATAGGTGTTAAAAAGTCCCTAAAAATACAGCGGGTCCACTTCCCTTACTCAGAGGCCACTCTCTCTGGTATTACACACAACACAGTTCAAACAGCTTGAAGAATGGAAATGCCAATCACTGTGTGTG